GTTATGTTTAGTTGGAATTTTGTTTAGGGGTCCACTAAATGGATTCCCGAGTTGTACTCTTAGAGGTTTTGGAGAGTTGGATTTTATTAATCTTTATTATTTAAGGATTTTATAATTAGAATTCTTTCAACTTTAATTTGTAATTCTTAAATTTTTTTTCATCTATGTTTGTTAAATATTAATTGTTTGATATTCTCTCGGGTTTGGGCTTGGGCCTGATCAACCTATGTTTTGAATCCGAGAGGTATCACAGTTACCAAACTTATTGAGACCCTAAACGCTAGGTTCATTGAGGATGGTTACACCAATGGGAGTATAGAGCCCAGGCACATGGTATTTGAGGAAAATTGAAATATAAATTAAGTTCCTCGGGATGACGTAGTTGTTCCACTCGTTACCATGCAAGATGGTGATTTAAGTCATCAAGAGCCTGAAGAGCAAACACCTCACATAGAAGAAATCTCAAATGAACCAATAGTTGACATGCCATTATGAAGATCAAGGAGAGAAAGGAAAAGTGCTATTCTAGATGACTATGAAGTTTATCCACAAGAGATTGAGTTCAACATTGGTAAAGAAGATGATCCACTATCATTTTCAGAAGCCAAAGGTAGCACTTTTGCTCAACAATGGTTAGATGCAATAAAAGATGAGTTAGATCATATGAAAAATAATCAAGTTTGGGATCTAGTTGACTTACTAGAGGGAGTCAGACCCATTGGTTGTAAATGGGTATTTAAAACTAAACGAGACTCAAAAGTAAAGTTGAAAGATATAAAGCCCGAGTTGTTGCTAAGGGTTTTACTCAATAAAAGGGTATCGACTATAAAAAAACTTTTTCTCTTGTTTCAAAGAAAGACTCTTTTAGAATCATAATAGCATTAGTAGCTCATTTTGATTTAGAGTTATATCAAATGGATGTAAAAACTGCATTCCTAAATGGTGACTTGCTCGAAGAAGTTTATATGGAACAACCCGAGGGTTATGAAATTGAGAGCAAAAAACATATGGTGTGCAAGTTAAGAAAATCTATTTATGGGTTAAAACAAACATCAAGACAATGGTACATAAAATTTGATGAGATAATTATTTCTTATGGGTTTAAAGAAAATATTATTGATAAGTGCATTTATATGAAAGTCAGTGGGAGTAAGTTCAATTTTCTAGTGTTGTATGTTGATGATATCTTACTTGCTAGTAGTGACATTGGCTTGTTACACGAGACTAAACATTTTTTATCTCAAAGTTTTAAAATGAAAGATCTTGGTGAAGCCTCATTTGTCATTCACATTGAGATTCATCGAGATAGATCTCGTGGGATTCTTGGATTGTCACAAATAGCCTATATAGAAAGGTTCTTAAAAGATTCGATATGCAACACTGTAAAGGTGGAATTGCCCCTATAGTAAAGGGTGATAAATTTAATAAATTCCAGTGTCTGAGAAATGACCTAGAGCGGGAGCAAATGAAAACATTCCCTATGCATCTGCAGTTGGGAGTTTGATGTATGCTCAGGTTTGCACACGGCCAGACATAGCATTTGCTGTTGGTATGCTAGGCAGATACCAAAGTGATCCTGGAATGGATCATTGGAGAGCGACAAAGAAAGTAATGAGGTACTTGCAATAGACAAAGAACCATTTGCTTATATATAAAAGGACCGACAGGCTTAAAGTGGTGGGTTATACAGACTCTGACTTTGCTGGTTGTCAGGATAGCATGAAATTCACTTCAGGATTTATCTTTATGATGGCTGGAGGAGTAATTTCATAGAAAAGTATTAAACAAACACTAACAGCTTCATCTACCATGAAGGCAGAGTTTATTGCATGTTATGAGGCCACTTGTCATGCATTATGGTTTGGAACTTCATCTCAAGACTTATGGTGGTAGATTCTATTTCTAAACCATTGATGATTTTTTGTGACAATTCTGCTGTAGTTATACATTCAAGGAACAACAAGAGTTCAAGAAAATCTAGACATATAGATATTAAATACCTTGTTGTAATAAAGAGGATTTAGAACCAACTTGTGTCTATTAAGCACATTAGTACACAACAAATGATTGCTGATCCCATGGCTAAGGGGTTGCCGCCTAAGCTATACAGTGAGCATGTTGCTCATATGGGTATTATTGGTAGTTTTGATTTACTTAGTTAGTGGGAGGTTATTTTTTGACTCAGTTGTAGACACATTTGTATTTGTGATCACATTTTCTTATATTATATTATCCTCATTTATTTAATTTTCCATATTGGTGCACGTGTGTATGGAAAATTATAAGTGTCATTTATGAGACACGGTGTGTCCTTATTGAGACGCGGTAGAACCGAAGCATGGCATAATACTTTATTGTTTAACACGCGATATTTATGTACCATCTTGTAGTCGAGTGTATTAATGTTTGTGACCATTGATGTCTTATATTATTAAATAATATAATGACGTCCTTGATCCAATATTGGTATACTTGTAAGGACTTCATAGAAGTTGTTTGGTACAATGATTCTTTAAATATAGATAATTTATTTAAAGTGTGCACACCAACATTATTTCAAAATATTTTTTCATAAAAAATAAAAATATAAAATATAAAAAATAAATATTAATTATGATTATAAGACTAAGTGGGAGAATGTAAGAATACAATGGTGTTATTATAATAATTAATCTTAACTTTATTTAAATTGTTTTATTATCCATATTTAGGAGATGTAATGTTGTATCATAACAGTTATTTAATTACAGAGGGATGTGTTGGTTGATGGAACCAACATGTCTCCTCTTGGCAATGCTTAGAAACGGTCCCAACCCTCTATATATATATGTGAAAGAAAGGTCTGAAACCATCGTCAGTTTCACAGGAAAAAATAGAGGATTGAAGAGTGTTTCTTATATAGTTCATCTCAAACTCAAACTGCTAAAGATGACAGGTATGTTTCTAAACAATGTTTATGCATTAGTACCATGCATTTTATTATCGTTGAATTGCTTACAAGAGAAAGATATATATATATATATTTAAAGAGAGAGAGAGAGGGGGAACGCACCACGATGCAATTATCAGGTAGAGGAGGAAGAGACGACGTGGATTCAATGGAAGCATGAGACGACATTTTGGGCCTGAAATTTATCCAGAAATAGTATATTGTTAAATATATACCATAATTTATTTAAGTATACATAGGTGTGTGTTTGTGTGTGTATATTGTAAGGAATTATATAAATAAAAGGGATGAGGAAATGAATGATTTAAGTAAAGAAGGGGACAATAGTTGTAGATAGAGAATTGAGACTTGGATGTGGAAGCAGCAAAGAGAGAGAAAGTGGAGCGTGAAGTAGAAGAAGAAGAAGAGAGAAAGTGGTTCGGGTTTGGGTTTGAGATGGGTTTGGGTTAGGGTTATCCAAGGGTATTTAAGTCAATTAAAATGTTAATTTTATTTCAAAGTGTAATAAGGTCAATTCACCATCTTCAGGGTCTCTTTGTTCATTTTTCAAACTTGAAAGGGGTGTCATTGTCCAAAAATAGACAAACTTTCATCTGTATGGCCTTACTTCAAACCTCAGGGGATACCTATGTACTTTACCCTTGAATTTAAAACAACAACTAGGTAATTTTAAATGTCCTAATAACAAAACAAAAGTTATGGACAGAGGGAGTAATAAAAAGCATGTAGGAAAGCACACTATGAGCTAAGCTAACTTGTAACACTTACTATATAAGTAATTGATATGGTTAAAATATATAACTACTTCATATAATTAATTAATTAAAATAATTATAAATTTTTATTTAATATTAGAAATTTATAAAAAAATATTTAATAAATTAAAATGATAATTTTTAAGTGGAATAAATATATATAAGTAAATATATGGGTGATCTCAAAACTTTGACGCTCTCCCGCCCTATGTTAGTGTAAAATCACTCTTTCAGCCCCCACAAAGAGAATCACACAAAACCAAATATTGAAAAAATCATTTGTGCTAAATTTAAAATTAGTAAGAAAACGAAGAAGAATGATAAACTGATATTCAAGGAAAGAAAAAAAAAAAAACACTACCGTCTGGAAGCAACATTGACAACGAGGACGACCTTCCCAGTGCTTTCCTGCACACATCAAATAAATCCCATTTCTTTGATAACTCCAACAAAAATAGTTAGCCAAAAAAAAAAAAAAAAAAAATTGCATACAACCCACCCACTTATATATATATAAAGATATGTAGATTGGTTATAATATTGGAGGATGATTTTGATATCCAAATGACTAATAATATATATGGTTTGTGATTTCTTTTAAAATTGGTGATAGGAGAATAAATTTTGTTTTATACAAATAATGATTGGGAAGATTTTATAAATTAACAATAAAGGAATCATACCAATTCTCAAGTATTTGTTTGGAATTATGATAATTTATGCCCTATGAGTAAAAAATAGTGATTAGGAAAAAAATATCTTTGAAAATTTTGCAACGAGATACTAAGTCATAATGGCACTTTAGAAAATGAACAAATCCAAATTTTTTATTTTATTTTTATTTTTTGAAAGTTAACAAATCCAAATTGATTATTAGTGAAGTTGAAGAAAAATAAATTGAGCTACCTTTTCTATCTCTATTTGTGCGCATCAATTACCGGATGAATTCCCCACGTTTTCACCTTCAATGGTCGTTCTTTAGAACAATCGTAGATGCCTCGACTAATTGAAGCCTCAATGTAACATTCATCACCATTGCATTTCCAATATTCTCTTTTAATCGGGTCACATGCTACATGAAACAACATGATGTGATCTGACCTGATGCTGTAGATCCTATCAGATATATAACGCATGCCTTCATGATAGCCATTGATTGTAAGATCAATTACATCATAGTTAACGGATGGTTCCTGATTGATTCCGAAAACGGTACAAATAGAAACTCCTTTGAGGTAACTGAGAGAATTTGGATCTATCGTCAAACACACCCGAGTCATGTCCTCAGCACTACTCTAACTCTCATATTTTATTCGGCAGAACCCACTTGGAATCTCATTTCCTGGAAGAAGGATTGAACCACCAATTTCCTGTACCATATATAAAAACCATAGCAAATGATTTATTAATTCTGTGAGAAAGAGGGAGAGTGATACATACGCACACACAAATCCATATATATGTAAGCTACGTGAAGTTCACTTTCTGAAAAGTATATATTTGGCTTGTTCCCGTAGATTAGGGGGTTAATTTTGAACGTAAGTCTATATATCGAGAAATAGAGAAACGCATACACAAATAAATATATATATATATATATACACACACACACGTACCTGAAGGGGATTTTCTGAATAGTATACATTTGGCTTCTTGTTCCCATGATTCTCAACCAATTTGTGGGTCTCAACGAAATTCAATTCAAAAATGTAAGCACCATTTGGGATCGAATAACGTTCTAAGGATACGCAATCTTTTGCAAAAACAGAATGTATAGATGATGGAAGTAACTCCAATGTTTGGAGGCTTAAGCAATCATCCAACCTAAGCGAATAAAGCCTTGTAAGTTGAGTGAAGCTTGCTGGTAAACTAACAAAGTTGTTCCCGCTTAGATTCAAATCTTGCGATGACTGAGGAAGATTAAGAATGGATTCTTCATCTAAATTGCAGTTACTCCAATCTAATTCTCCAAGGTCAGCCAAAGAAATGGATGATGGTAACTTTTTTATACCACTGCCTCCCAAACAAAGTTCCTTTAAACTCTTCATTTCACCAATATTGCTCGGCAAACTTCCAAGCATTTTGCAGTCTGTCAGATCTAACTTATAAAGGCCTTTGAGTTGTTCCACTGATGGAGGTAAATCTTTTATAACAGTTCCGTTTAAAAAGAGTTCATTTAAACTCGTCATTCCACCAATATCGCTCGGCAAACTTCCAAGCATTTTGCAGTTTGTCAGATCTAACTTATCAAGGCATTTGAGTTGTTCCACGGATGGAGGTAAATCTTTTATAGCAGTTCCATTTAAAAGGAGTTCCCTTAAACTCTTCATTCGACCAATATTACTCGGCAAACTTCCAAGGATTTTGCAATCGCTCAGAGCTAACTGCACAAGGCCCTCGAGTTGTTCAATAGATGGCGGTAAATCTTTTATAGCAGTTTCGTTCAAATAAAGATACTGCAAACTCTTTATTTCACCAATATTGCTTGGCAAATTTTCAAGCATTTTGCAGTCAATTACATCTAACCTATAAAGCCTGTTGAGATGTACAATCGATGGAGGTAAATTTGTTATAACAGTTCCTTCTAAGTCGAGCTCTCGTAAACTCTCCATTTCACTAATATTGCTCGGCAAACTTTCAAACATTTTGCAATCGTTCAGATTTTAGCACTTAAGCCTTTTGAGATGTACAACTGATGGAGGTAAATCTTTTATAGCAGTTCCTTCCAAGAAAAGATGCTCCAAACACTCCATTTCTCCAATATTGTACGGCAAGCTGTTAAGCATTTTGCAGCCGCTCATACTCAAAGAACGAAGCTTTTTGAGATGTTCAACTACTGATGAAGGTAATTCTTTTATTGCAGTCCCATCTAAGCGAATATCCTCTGTACATTCCATATCTCCTTCCATCTCTGGAAAGTTCTCAAGTCTTGAGCACCAAGCAAAATCAATCCTTATGAGAGATTTCAAATTAATTGTTGTTGTGAGACTCTTTAGATTTTCACACATATGAAAATCCAAGCTCCCAAGCCTCTTGTGAAATTCAATAGACGGATGAACTTCAACCAAATTTGTACAGCCCAAAAGATATAATGTCTCCAGACATGGCAACCCGGACACATCAGGAGTTTTCTTCAAATTTTCGCATGAACGGAGATAAATGATTCTTAACTTGTCTAGAATCTGCTAAAATAGAAAATTAAATGATAAAAGAAATCAATTTTAATCAACTCAAATAATAATTCAACTATAGGGGAATTGTATTTACAAGTAACAGCCTCGCCATTAACATTTAATCTCATTAGAAATCAAAGTGAGATAGGAAAAAGAAAAAGAAAAAAAAACGAGAGCTCAATAATAGTTTCCAGTTTCCTTTAGTTTTTTCATTTTCATTTTTCCTTTTCCTTATCCTTATCTATCCCTCACAATCTGAAAAAAAACAAAAACAAAAACAAAAAACTTACAGAAAAAAAAAAAAAAAAAAAAAAAATACTCAAGGATAGAGAGAGTTACTGAAACTATACAATCACTGGGGTCAATGACATTTGTTCAATTAGTTTATTTCAATTGCTATTGGTTCATTTTTTTTTTTTATTAGTATTATCATTGTTTCTTTTTACATCTAAATAGTAACTATTTTCGGAACTAGAAATGAACTGGTCAGCCATATAACCGAACCAACTTATACAAAGAACCATATCTTATAGCACTGATGACATGTACGATCTGTAATGAATTTACTTGGTATATAATCTAAATCTGTTATGCCATTTTAATTACTTATTTAACATTTTTTTTAATTTTTTTTTGAAAAAGGTAATATCTTCTTTTTTATTTATTTATTATTTTTTATTTATTTATTTATTTATTTATTTTTGGGTGTGTGTGTGTGTGTTTTGAAAAGATGAACCCAACACTCATATGTTTAATAATAATAAAAAGATAGCTGCTATCATTATTATTATTATTATTTGCTTGGACAATTTTCCAAATGTGCCATTTAATCTCGATAATCTAATCCCATCTACATGTGAATTACAAATAGGATTTGATAATTATAGGATTTCAAATACTTTTTTCATTGCGTTTCAAATCCAGTTTAAAATGCCATGATTTCACGGAATTTGACTAGACGTTTCTTCTTTTTAAACCCTATCCTATTAAATATCTACTACCACCTCGTCGTTGTTTTAATGTGTGTATGTATGTGTATATATATATATATATTCCTCTGAGTGTTGTGTATATCTATTTTTTTTTTTTTTTTTTTGTATACTTCAGTATCTTATATTGCGTTTAACATATTGATCCTCAAAGTTATGGAACTTTTAAGACATCGATTTCTCAAAATTACCAAAAGTTTGTGAAAAATCTACAATACAAAATTTTATAGCCAAAACTCATACTCCTAACCAATCCTCCATAAGGTATACTCCAGTATCTTAAACTGCGTTTAATAAATTGATCTACCACCACTTTTGTATTTGAAAAATCTATAATACAAAATTGCTGCAATCCTCCATAATTCACACCATTTTTTTTTTTGTTTGGTATACTCCAACAGATTGATCTACCACAATACAGAATTGTATAACCAAAAGTTAATCTACCACAATACAGAATTGTATAACCAAAAGTATGCGTTTAACCATTGATCCACCACCTTGATTTTTTTTTTTTTTTTTTACTTATAACCAAAAGTTATGGAATCCAATACTTCAGGATTTGTGTACTTAAAAATTTAAACGAATAAAATGGAATTTTATAAGTAAAAATTATATTATCCAATTCTTTAAAATTCACAGATAAGTCATTTATATATATATATATATATATATATAAGCCAATATTGCCAATAATATCTTTAATAATTGCTTCCTCTTCTTAAACTTTTTTTTTTTTTTTTTTTTTTCAAATAAATTTCATGTTTCAGAGTTACATCACATAATCATTCTCGTTGTTTGTCTTCTTCTTGCTGTAACTTTGGAGTATATATTTTGCAATAAAATAAATATTTCATTTATTATTTAAATAAGGGCAAAAATGGTATTATATTGTTTTTATTCAAAATCCCATTTTAAATCCAATTTGTTCCAAACATATAAATAGAATTTCATTTTAATTCCAATTCCTATTCCAAATCCTAAAATAATTGATTCCAAACAAAGCGTAAGGGACATGAGGTCGGGTTGGTTGGCTATTTAATCAAAATTTTCGTAAATTTTAGCTATTTAATCCAAGCAACTTGACAAAACAATTTGCAAACAGAAGCATAATGCACCTTAAATAATAGCATTATCTTCCCGTCTTCAAATTCAACCTCAACCAAACTGGCACAACCTTGGAGATACAATTCCTCCAGAAAGGGGAACTTTGGAAAATTAGGATTTACCAGATATTGGCAAAAACTGAGATTAAGAACTTTTAACCTCTCTAGAAGCTGTTTAAAAAATATAATATAAAAAATAAAATAAGTTAGCTTCAATTGGGTGGAGAAAATTATTTTCTTCGAAAAATTAGAGATAATTTTAACAGAAAGGAAAACAGTATGAGTAAATTAATTATCTTACTTTTGAATTTGTGCAAATTCCTTTGATCAGGTTATTAGGTAAATGGAGTTGAACATGTCTTTTTGGATGAAAATTGTATGCCAAATATTCTTGGGGATAGCCATCCCACTCAATATACCTTAACTCATTTGAAAGATCTGTAAGGCACCCATCAAGCCACACACCATTGATTTTGAGTATTCGCAGCTTCCTCATTTTTGTGAACGTATCAGCTCTTACATGCAACCCTCCCGCTAAAGATAATCCATTCTCGGGTAGCATAATAGCTTCAATTTTTTCTGTCACCTATCAACCAACAGAAATAAATTCTAACTATAATTATACTACTTCAAAGAAGACTACAAGGAACAATACAAGAAACTTTCTTTGTTTTCAAATCTTGCACATGGAAAGAAAGTAACATATATGCCTTTAACATATACCATGTTTTCAGCGAATACATGACGGATGTCATCATAAGACCACAGCCTGCTGCGTTCTCCAGGTTCTTTAGATTCTTGACGAATAATTTCTTGGCCAATTTCTGTATCAAGTCATGCATTAACACCACATTTTTTTTTTTCTGATATATTAATGAGGGACCTCTCATTAAGAATTTGTATTCCAATGACCACGTCAGCTTTAGCCCACTTATAAATATTCATGACATATTCCTTATGGCATCCATTGAAGAAACACGCTATATCAAGAAAAATATCCTTCTCTTTCTCATTAAGGCCTTCATAACTAATCTTTAAAACACGATAAACATTTTCCTTGATTTCTTTGGGAGGGCTGGTCTTCCACTTATCCAATATACTTGACCAGTACTGTTTTCCTCTTTTGTGTAAAAGAGAACCCAAAACTTGGAAAGCAAGTGGAAGGCCCTTGGCATAATCTTTTGCACGGTTTGAAAGTTCCTCATAATCGTCTTCAGGCTTTTCCCTCTTGAATGCATGACAACTGAAAAGTTGTAACGCTTCACTGTCATTTAATAACTCAAGATTGTATGTTCTAACATCTAACTTTTCCAACAATTGTTTATCTCTAGTTGTTAGGATGATCCTACTACCACTACAAAACCATTCCTGTTCAACTAAATACTGTAATATATTTTGGTCGTCTACATCATCAAGCACTAGAAGAAGCCTTTTATTACCAAGTCTATCCTTTATTTCATTGATTCCCCTATCAGGATCTAATATTTTTATAGTTTGATCCCTTAGGATCTGCCTGAGAAGCTTGGTTTGTAGTTTAGCTAGACCACCATCCTTTTCTGACTCTTGTCTCACTTTTTCAAGAAAACAACTTCCTTCAAAATCTTTTGATTTACGGTTTTCAACCGCTTTGGCAACGGTGGTCTTACCTGCTCCTCCAATTCCACAAATTCCAACAAAGTGTTGATCTTGGTCCAACAATGTAATGATTTTGTCCACGCGTGCATCAATACCCACTTCGTACTTAGCAACTCTAAATGGTTTAGGTTGCAATTTTTTCTGAAATCACTTTAACAATATTTTTGATAAACTTATCCTCGTACCTGTTAAGTAGAAAGCACATTACAATCAAAGACTTGAGAAGGAAAAAAAGGAAAGGAAAAACAGGGAGAAATACATAAAGGTTGAATTAAGTATTTACTCATTATAACTTAAATAAAGCCCCCAAAGAAAAAAGTTAGAGTCGAAAAAACGTACTTCCAAAAGGTAACAACCCATCTGGTAGAAATAAAATGACAGTTGAATACGGTGACTTCAATTGAATACTAACAAATGTAAATAAGAGTGTGTCATCATGTTAGTAACAGAACAGATGCCCTATGAAGTTTGCCACTAGATAAAGGGAAGTCAATTAGGATATGAGACTCTATTGTGATGTTAAAACTCTAAAGTTGTTGCTGCTCTTTATCACAAAACAATGAAATAATGTATATATACATTGAACTAAGCTTGTAATAACTGATCATATATAGAAGCAGAACATATATATATATATATATATATATACCCATTAGCTGCATCTTGTAAATCCAAGCCGCTTAGATTTGCTGCTTCCTTCAAAGCGTCC